AAGAATTTGTTTTAACAAGTCAGAAAAGTATGTCAGTCTGTCTGTGTCTGTTATATTAACAACCTAGCACAATGACTTAAATTTTTAGGAAATAACACCATATCTGCTAGGACACAGGTAAAATGAAGAAAAGGTTTAAACAGTTTCAGTTTTAAAATATTTTTAATCAATATGGACATCCAATCATCATAACAAGAATACTATCACTATTACTAATATGTTTGATGTATTGATATTTACAATGTGCCAGGTACGGATTTTCACAGTCATTATTTAATTCTCACAATCTTAGGAGATAAATAGTATTATCACAATTTTATGGAAGAGGAAACTCAGGCCCAGAAAATTGAGGCAGCTCGGAAGAACAAGGGCTGAGATTGAGATGCAAATCTGATGCCAGAACCTATAATTTCAATCTGTTTGATCAAAGTTTCAGCCTGAGTCAATAAAACAAACCTAACGAGCACTTTTTCCTTCAATAGCATGTATTATGTTTTAGTCATCTTATAATTTATTACATATCAGATACTGTTTGGTATTTATTTACTTCCTTGTTCTAAGGCAATAAGATATTTTTCAATGAGAATATTGAAGCAAATAGGAAATGATGACAGAAAAGTAAGATAAGACTACAAATGAGACTTCTACGGGAAATGCAGGCGGCAAAATCTCGTATGTTCTCTAGAAGTGAGATGCTAATTTGACTCAGAGCTATTAGTAAGCAACTAGCCCACAAAGGAAAAGATTCTTCCCATGACTCTTTAAAAATCACATCCATCCTAAGTCACATTATCCATAGAAAAAAGCAAAGCAGTAGCTGAGGAGGAGGACAAGTTCACGGATAGAGGAGATTGTGTGCGTAATGCAGAGAGCAAAGATTTCAGCAGGACTTTGACCTTAGACTTACTGAGTTTGATAGGTCAGTATGATGCATTTTATAAACCAGCATCCCAGTGCCACAACATAACTTAACAAAAGCATTTTGGAAACATCAGTGTGCAGTGCTCTGATGTGACTATGGAGTTTAACTTAAAAATCAGTTTTCCTAATCTAGATCAGCACCACCCAATAGAAATATAGTGGGAGCCACATATGTTATTAAAAGATTTCAAACAGCAAGACTTTTAGGCTCGGCGCCTATAGCTCAACCGGCTAAGGCGCCAGCCACGTACACCTAAGGTGGCAGGTTCGAATCCCCAGCCCGGAC